GTGCGTGTGTGTGCGTGTGTGTGTACCACACATTCTTTATCCACTCATCTACTGATGGACACACAGGTTGCATCCTTATCTCAGCTATTCTAAGTAATGCTGCAATAAACACGGGGGGGTATGTATCTTTTTGAATAAGTGTTGTTATCTTTGGGTAAATATCCAGCAGTGGAATTATTAGATCATATGGTATTTCTATTTTTAATGTTTTGAAGAACCTCCATACTGTTTTCCACAGTGGCTAAGCCAATTTATATTCCCACAAACAGTGCATGAGGGTTCCTTACTACTTCATTTCTTTTTATTGCTAAATAATATTCCGTTTATGGATGTGTCTATCTGTTCACAGTTGATGGATACAGATTATTTCCAGTTTTTGGCTATTACAAATAAAGCTGCTAAGAACATTTGCATGCAGGTCTTTATGCCAATAAATGTTTTCATTTCTCTTGGGTAGATACCTAGAAATAGAATTGCTGGGTCATATGGTAAATACATGTTAACTTTTTAAGAAACTGCCAAACTGTTTTCCAAGTAGCTGCATCATTTTGTGTTACCACCAGCAATATATGAGGGTTCCTGTTCCTCCACATTCTCCCTAACAATTGTTACTACCTCCTTTTATTTTAGCCATTTGAATGGGTGGGGAATGCAGTTTTACTTTGCAAATGCAAATGAGTAATAATGTTGAGAATATGTTCATATTTTAATAATGGAAGAGTTTCTAACAAAAGTCACTATAAAAAAAGTTTGTGGCATTTGGAAACTGAGAACAGCATGCTAACAGGAAAAAAGCCAAATTAAGAAATAAGTCTTAGGACCTATGCCGGAGTATAAATTATTGTATTAATTATTCCGTATTTTTTCTGTGCACACAAAATAGTTATACTTGCTACAGAAACCATTACCGAATATGCACCGAGCTGGCTCATTCAGATTGATCTTAATGTTTATATTACTTCTATTATATATAATTACTTTAGTCCTTTGTAAATAGAAATAAATGTGAAAAATTGTAGAAAGTAAAGTCTTGGGAGACTTAATAGTTACTGCAATTTGAAGTAAAATACATTCTTTCTTTTAAGATTGTATTTGAGAGAGAGAGAGATATTGAGAGGACGAGTGGGAGGAGGAGCAGAGGGAGAAGCAGACTCCCCCCGCCCCCCCCCCCCCCCCCCCCCCCCCCGCCACTGAGCAGGGAGCCCGATGAGGGACTCGATCCCAGGACCCTGGGATCATGACCTGAGCCGAAGGCAGACGCTTAATGACTGAGCCACGCAGGCGCCCTGAAGTAAAAGATATTCTTAAACATGCTAAGAGTCTCTATACGTTATGAATAAATGAGATTAATCATATTTAAGTTGAAAGATGAGAGTAATAGAAATCAGATTAATCAAATGGAAAGTACCAGAAATCACTTGAAAAATCATTCAGAAGGCAATGAAAGAGAACTAAAAATTACAGACTCTTGAATACTCTGCATTTTAGATGAACACTATGTGCCTTCTCTGCCATTAGATAATGACAAATTACTTAAATGAAGGCATTTAGAAAAAAGACGAAACATTTTCAATGTGTACATTTTTATCTTCACTCACATACTTGATCTCCATATGACTATTTCTCTAAAACTGCCTCCTCCAATACTACTTAAAGTAAAAAAATAGAATGTGAATGATTTCTGAATTCTATAGGCTTTAAAAATGTTTTGGTATCAAAAACACATAAATTCAAAGAACGGTAAAGGTAAATACTGGCTCATTTTATATTTTTGACTTTCAGTAGAAAACAGTAATGAAAATTGAGAAGAGAAGAGTGAAGACCAAGATACTTATAATACAAGCTAACCATTGGGACCTTTAAGAATTTAGGTGTCAAAATATTTTAAATAATGTACATCTGTCCTAGTATTCCTAGTCACATTGTTTAAAATTTGATCAAACGGAAAAGCTTATAATGCATTCAAAGGTAAAACAAAAAACCACAAACATGTATCCTCTGGATTATTCAGAGTTTTTTTTTTTTTGAGATTTTATTTATTTATTTGAAAGAGAGAGAATGAGAGATAGAGAGCACGAGAGGGAAGAGGGTCAGAGGGATTATTCAGAGTTAAAAAAAAGTCACCACAACCAACCACACTAAATGATCAGTTGGTAGAGGATTATAATTATGTATATTATTTCTTAGGTCATTTTAAGGATCTACACTACAATATACACTATAACAAAATTACTACATATGTAAATTGCATCCCTTCTAGCTAGACTGAATAGTGTTTCATATTAACAGAGTAGGGTAAAAGTTCACTGAAGAAGGAACTATTTTACAAAAGTGGATTCTTTCTAAAAATTTTATTTATTGTTTTTTAAAATTTTATTTATTTTGTTTTAATTCCAATATAGTTAACATACAGTGTTATGTTAGTTTCAGGTGTACAATATAGTGATCTGACAACTCTATACATACTCAGTGCTCATCATAATAAGTGTATTCTTAATCCCCTTCACCTATTTACAAAAGTACATTCTTTAGGTAACTGGACCTGATGGCCATTTAATATTAGTCATTTGTTATTATTTGACACTCTGGACAATTTAAATAATGGTCATATTTTCCTACCTTTTACAATAAAATGTACAGAATACAATCCAACATTTTCTTGATGATTTTAGAGTCTACTTCCAAACTTCATCACTTGATAACTATCATTTTGCAACCTTGCCTTTCACTTTTAACAAGGAAAGAAAAAAAAAAAACACCCCTACTAGTACCTCTAAGCGTCACAATAGTGCAACATGGTATTATCTTTGCAGGAAAAAAAAACATGGCTCAGAGAGGTGAAGTAACTTATTTGAATCATACAGGGCAATGCGGTTTCCATCAGTCACCACTACTCATCTGCTAAGATGCTGGTTCCCAAACTTGAGTGTGCTTCAAATCCACTTGCAGGCCTATGAAAGCACAATCTGCTGGGCCCCACCACCAGAGTCTCAGATCCTGTAGCTGTAGAATGGGGCCAATAATTTGCATTTTAAACAACTTCCCAGGCAGTGCTGATCCTAGAGCTGGCGGCCACACTTTGAGAATAAATGGGCTAATCCAGTGGATCTTCTGTCCTTAACTGTCTCCTCTGTAATATCCGATGCTGTTAAAATTTCCTCCACCTCAACATGGAATCTCTTTTTAAGAGCACTTGAGTTATTTAGGCAGGTTCAGGAACTACCACTAAATACTACTATTTCTGAGGGTTCCACCCCTAGTGCCCTTGTGTTCTCTTTGGCCAAGTCAGTCTCTTCGTTTTGGCTGTGACAACCTAAATAAGAAATTTTCAAAACTTCTTCCTAGGCTCCAAGAGGATTAAAGGTACCAAGAAGCTCTGGGAACATGATTCTTCCATTTTCTTCCCACCTTGAAATCAGCTCTTCCTCCTGTATTCTTTGCCTTAATGGACAGCACCTTCCTTAATCTCATTGCACAAATCAGAATCATTCTGGATCCCTCTTTCTTTGGTACCCCACACCTTTCAATCAGTCATTAGGTTGTATCAGTTCTACTTCCTAAATAGCTCTTGAGCCCAGTAATTTCTCTACCTGCATTGCCCGAGATCACCTAATTCACTTGTCTGAATCCAACAGTCTTCCTAATGGATTTCTACTTTGATCGCTCCAATCCAATCTCCACAATGCAGTTAGAGGATCTTCCTAAATAAAATGATAATTATGCCATTCCCTGCTTAAAATTCTTTAGTGCTTCCTCACTGCTTTGGGGATAAAATGCAAACTCCCTGGCATCACTAGAGATTCTTTGGCTCTCCATACTGCCCTTTTATGTCTGCACTCGAGCCATGCGAGCTCTCTTCAAATTCCAGAGCATGACACATTGCTCATGACACCATAACTAGGTATAATCTCCTATCTCTCCTGGGCCATCATGCCCCCTTTGCGGGGTAGCTACCCAGGATGTAGACCGAGTGACACTTGAGAAAGTTCTCCTAGCTTCCCCACCATCAGCCTGGGCAGGCTACTCCAGTTACTTTCATAATGCCATGTTCATATACCTGTCATTGACTTCCTCTCATTATATTGTAGTCACAAATTTTATTTATTTATTTATTTACTTACTTACTTACAAATTTATTTTTTAATCTATTTCTTCCTCCACTTGATATACCTCCCCTGACCCAGCAGTTTTACAGATAGTATGTTCAAGAGGCTGACTGGTTCAGTGAAAAAGGCACAGAACTTAAATTGGGTTCAAGTTCTCCCTCTGTCTCTCATTAGCTCTATGATGTTAGCCAAGTAGCAAAGGCAAATAAAACTACAATGTAGAAGGACAGAAATTTATGCAATCGTTTTATGATCTTGAGCATATGGTTTTCCTTTTTTGGTCTGTTACTTCATTTGTACAATAGGTGTTAGGCTAAATGATTGCCTTTCAACTCTAAGATCTTATGGTTATGATTATCAGCAGTATCCTGGATAACAGAAGTGTTAAACATCTCTTGGAATCATGCAAACATAGTATCATAAATATTTGAAACTGCAGGACTGAAGTCAATTGTCAGGTTATTAATCGCACAGATTCTTTTCAAAGTCTACTAGGATTTTTCAGATTTTATTTTCTTTAACCTAGAAAAGGATAAGAAAAAAACTTCTGCTAAGTACCAGTAAAATGTAACTCTCTTCTTTAAATCTGATTTCAAGGGAAACGTTTTACAATGTTATTTTTCCTGAATTGTCATCAATTCATGCAGTTTCACGTCTCTGAATTCACATAACATGCTACCTCTGAAGAGGACGTCTTTCTTATAAAGCATCAGCACTACTTCTTGTCTCTATAAGGTTGAGAGCAAACAATAACTTCTGCTAACAACCGCTGGAAATAATACATAATGCTCAAGATAAATACAAATAAGATAAAATTTATGGCACTTGAACAACAAATACCTGCCCTCGAGCAGTCACAGCTCATTCTTTCTTCACTTTCAAGGCCTCTTTCTCTATTCAAGCCTTCCAGCTAAGCAGCAGAGGAAATTATTGTACATTAAGTCTCCCTTAACCATGGGGGATATGTTCCAAGACCCTCCAGTGGATGCCTGAAACCGCAAATAGTACCAAACCCTATATATATTATTTTTTTCTATACATACATACCTATGATCGAGTTTAATTTAAAAGTTAGGCACAGTACGAGAACAGCAACTAATAACATAGGACAATTAAACTGTAATAAAAGTTATGTGAATGTGGTCTTTCTCGCGCTTTCCTTCCTCTTGTGATGATGAGATAATAAGATGCCTACGTGACGAGATGAAGTGAGGTGAGTGACGCAGGCCCTGTGATGTGTGGAAGGATACTGCTGCCCTTCCGACAAGAGGTCAGGAGGACCATGTGCTTCCTGACCACGGCTGACAGCGGGTAACTGACACCGTAGAAGGCAAAACCGCAGAAAAGGAGGGACTGCTATACATCCCAGTTAGAAGTGTACAAAGGGGAGATTACGCATGCAAATGTGTTTGGACTGATTGCCTTGAATACACTAACTAGATAGTTCTCAATTCTAAAAGAATGCTGATAATCCTGCCATGATTATTTGTAGCACATTTGATGTTACAGAGCACTTTTCCCATCTTTATAATAATCCTGTGAGATAGTCAAAGAGGATGCCATCTCCACCTGACAGATTAAGAGACTGGGGTGTGTGAATATGCCAAGACACAGAGTTTTGAGATGTCAGAGAGGGAACTCTTACCATGCCTCAGTTTATAAATAAGCAGAATCCAGCATTTAGTGGATACTTAATAAACATGAAGCGAATGAATTAATCTAAATTTCTGGCTCCTGGTATTCACTGCTACTTTCATCCGCCGCTTTACTAATTCTTCAATTGCTAGAATAGGTTTGTAAACTGAGTCAAATAAAATTATTAACCCCTAAGCAACAATGTTATTTAATTAATGCAATTTAGGTAGTGAGAACTTCTGGGTCGAAAACACAAGCAGAAATTTTTTTTAGCTAAATATGTTTTCACCTACACATTTCATCAAATATGTAAAATAACCTTATCAGATAGAAGAGCCAAAGGAAAAAACCTATAGTCACGTACATATTAACATGATCAGCATAAAATCAATACCCAAATGTTGTTGAAATTAGGATACTGATTTTAAATAATCAAAAACAGTTTACCTGTGGTGCAAGAAGAGGTAGCCTAATATAAGCCAAAAGTTTACTGAGATCTTTCCGTCTCTGTTCTAAATCATGACGGACCCAAGTAAGAAGTGCATTCAGTATTGTCTCCTCGTTAGGAATGTTCATGTCATCACTTGCCAAAAGCTTTGCGATTTCACTGGCTGGTAATAATACAAACTCCTGGTTTCGAATTACTTCCATGAAATGTTCCTAGAGGGGAAAAAACAGCACATCAACAATATTGTTCCTTCTGTGCATCAGTTTATTTAAGAGAAAATAAACACATTTGAATTAGATGCCAAAACACAGTTTATACTTGAGACCTTCCTTACCATAGTATTACTGTTTATTAGGAAAGAAGCACAGTATAAAATAACATTTAAACTGCCATTATGTTGTGACACTGTCAGTCTCCGTATCAGTAGAATTAAATTTTACCACTTCGTACATTTTATTTTTTTAAGAGATTTGTTTATTTGAGAGAGAGAGAGAGAGAGAGAAAACATGCGAGTGGGGGTGGGGCGAGAAGCAGAGGGAGAGAGAGAGAAATCCTCAAGCGGACTCCCTGTTGAGCACAGAGCCCGATGTGGGGCTCGATACCAGGACCCTGAGATCATAATCTGAGCTGAAATTGACAACCAGCTGCTTAACTGAGCCACCCAGGTGCCTCTACCATTTGGTACACTTTAAAAATGGACCTGGGATTTTTAGATTTTGCTTTACTCAAGTTAGGGAATAGTTTTGGCAAGTCTTTCAAGAGGTAGATGGTAGAAAAAATGAATTAGACTCTGAGGTGTAGGATAGTCTAACATCCAAGGTAGGTTACATTTGTGGTTGCTGAAGACTATAGCTTACAGTGCAGCCAGATACCTGGGTGAGCTGTGAAATTATTTCTCTTACCCAGAAATGGCTGTCAGTCAGGCTGGCTGGATTTCCGAAGACTTCTGTACTACAGAAGTCTTCTCAGACTGCTCAGGGAAGACTATACCTCCTTATGGCTATCCTGGCTCTGATTGGCCTTCAAGAGTATTTTCATGTAATTCATAAGACCACCCAGGATTTTAGGTCTGTTTTAAAAACTTCGAATGGGTTAGCCTGGTGATGGGTATTAAAGAGGGCACGTATTGCATGGAGCACTGGGTGTTATACACAAACAATGAATCATGGAACACTACATCAAAAACTAATGATGTAATGTATGGTGATTAACATAACATAATTAAAAAAAGAAGAAAAAAAACTTCAAATCTGATATATGTATGAAGTTCTATTGGTCTCAAAGAAAAAGAGCCAAAGCAAAAGCATTGACATAGAATGAATGCACTGGGACTCCAAGACCTTGGACTGAAGATAATTCAGTTGCAGCCTCATACTAGAATCAGGCTCCTTATCATTTGAAATGGGAGACAGAGATGACTTCAGCTGTGAGATAATGATCTTTACTAGGATATTATGCTAAACCGTCCGAAGAGATGGGAAACTTACTATCTGGTTTGCAAGGTTACAAGTCTTAATGCATGGATTGTTTACTTAGCCATAATATAAATGTAAATGCTACGCATATTGTCCCTTAATGTTATTCTTATACTTCCTACTGTGCTGTGGCTGTCTCAGCATACACGGTATAAGTGAAATAGGAAGGGCCATTTAAATTAGAGCTAGAGATAAGGATTACCAGCAACTATCTTCTACATTAAAATGAGAATTACATGTTCCCTATAGCTTGCAGTAACCCATATTAGGTACTGATCTAAAATATATCTTGGGTTGACATTCCTTTCTTAGAAATTCTTAACAGGAAACCATACATGAATAATTAACTAAATTCAATTGCTTCAATTCATCATGATTTGTTTAAAGATGCCCAAATGTATCTATTTTAAATGACTGATTATCATTTTCAGAAATATATTTTAATAAAACCTCGATGTTGGCTTCAAGCAAACTGTTCTACTCAATTGTATACTGACATTATAAAACGATCTGGTAACACATTGCAAGAGCTATAAAAATGCTGAAGCTCTCAACCCAGTTAACCTACTAGCAGTTTAATCCTTAATAAATAATTCACAAGAGGAAAAAAAAAAAGCTGATGCTTCTCTAATGATGCTTCTCTATATTATTATTTATAATAGTACAAAATGGGAATTAGCCTAAAGGTCCAGCTATAGGGGGTTGTAACTCAACGGGCTATTAAGCAGGCATTAAAAATTTCAAAAACAAAAATCACATAGATACATGGAAATACATTTATTACATAATGTTAGGTAAGATTCTAAGAAATCAAAATAATACATATCTCTAATTGCTCAAAGGTAGTGTATAGTATAATCAACATTTACACCGTACCGATAAAATAACTATTGCTTTACTTTCAAACGGTATTAATGGCATTACCAATGCAATGGTATGAATTCATCAAGTAGAAAAGGACTATTATATATATATATTATTATTGATTGATTGATTTTCTATTTCAGAATGATGCCCATTCCATTCTAGTACAATTCATTTTAAGTGAAAATTGAGTCTCTCAACAACTTATGGAAAGACTACTGAACACAAGGTTAAACACAAAGTGCTTTTCAAAAGTATTTGGTTTTACAGTGGGTATTTTAGCAGAATTCAGTGTTTTTTCTAGGTTGAGAAACAAAATTCAAAAATTTAAAATTAAATGCTTATATTTATTTCACAAATCCATAATGCCATTAAATATTTGTAATGATCCACCCAGCGTTAGTTAGACTTTTTGGCAGAGGTTAAAGGGCTCGTGCCAGGTCACATTCCGTGGCAGTCAGAGTGACAACAAGTTTCCAAATTACAAGAAGGAACTCCTCATGCTTTCCTACCTGTATTCATAGAGGATGAGTGAACATTCCAAGTACGTGCACCCTTTACTGATTGGGACAACTGAATTGACTATGTGGCATTATGCTTACTTCGGATTTTAAATCTATTTTGTTGTTGTGATGAGCACCGGGTAACATATGGAATTGTTGAATCACTATACTATACACCTGAAACTAATATAACACTGTATGTTAACTAACTGGCATCAAAATAAAAACTTTAAAAAAATCTATTTTGTGATATAAATAGCTATCATGCTACCAAATACTTGCTAGCACTATGCCCTTTCTCCATTTGGAATTAGTTTCCAAGCGAATGAAATTACTGACGGATTTATTTAAAGTGAAGACTGAATTTTGCTATACATGTTCATTGAGTTCCCATAGCAACAATTGAAATCAGACAATCTGCCTCTAAATGACTTATTGTTATTAGAATTAAATTTCACCTCTCTGTTGAAACTGAATAATGTCAAATAATAGCCCTGAGGAAAAAAAAAAAACTACCCAACTAACTGGCTGTGAAAATAGTTTTAAAAACATTGAGCTGAATCAATAATATTGTAATAACTCTGTATGGTGACAGAAAGTAACTACACTTCTCATGGTAAGCACTGCATAATGTATAGAATTGTTGAGTCACTATGTTGTACACCTGAAACTAAAATAACGCTGCACGCCAACTTTAATTAAAAAAAAAGAGCCAATTTAAATTTAATATATGTCTAAGCCATTATGTCTTAGCAGCCACTTGTACCTCTATTATAAACAACAGGAGTGACCTAAATGCATACAAATGTTTTCATGTGAATCAAACTCCTTCCTAGGAAAGAGATATTACTTAAATGATGAACTGATTATGAAGAAAAGAAACCCCTGTTTTATTTTATTGATAGTCATCTTACTCCCAAACTTATTTGAACCTGAGGTTTAAGGTTAAATGAGAAATCTGCAAGGGAAAGATAAAGATGGAGGTGGGGAAAAATCTTCCATGGGACTTAATTTAGAAGATGCCAGGTCTGTATAGTATTGCCTTGTCACACAATCTCTGTGACTGTTATAAACAAGAAACATTCCGAGAAGTGATGATACCACAGGGGCGAATACAAATCATAAGGGTTGCACTTTTGTCTGAGTGCTTTTGTTCACTCACATCAATCCCTAATGTGTTGAACAGAGCAATGATGGTGACAGTGATGGTACAATGATGGTGACAATGATGAGGATGTCATTTATTGACTGGATATACTATGTGTCAGTCACTATTTTCAGTGCTACACTCCTATTAACTCATTTAATCTTCATACCGAGCTTATGAAGTAGGTAGAATTATTCTTCCCAATAGCTGTAAACCTCTGTTCTTATCATTGCTCCAAAATCTCTATTTCTGTAGTGAAAGATTCCAAAGTATTTGTCAATCCCTTCACAGACAAACCAAGTCAGTGGAAGGATGGAGGAGAAGGTAGACAAAAACATCTTCATGTTGATAAACTCAGTAATATGGATAACTAGCGTGTGTGTGTGTGAATGTTCACATTCTTTCTTCTCTTAGGAGCTGTATTGCCCTAATTGCAGGATACAAAGTAACAGTCTTCAATCTTTGCCCAGCTGTGAAGACCTAACTGCCACAGTGTGACAAGATGGTCATTCCTTAAAAATCCACATATCCTCCCTTCCCCAAATGCCTGTACTATGAAGACTGGGGGCGCCTGGTCCTAACAATATGCCTTCAACATGCCCTTCTTTTCTTGCTGTCCTAGATCAGTCTGTATCCATTATCCTCCGGTGTCTGAATGAGAACCTCCTCTGCGATTTATTTTGAGCACATAATTTGCTACAATTCATAAGAAGATCTTTCTACACAGCTAAAAACGCTTTACATATAATCAGATTTACCTTTAATAAAAAGCCTCCCTTTCATCCTATCGTCTGTACTGCACCAATACCCCCCAATCACGGTCACCAATTTCCATCCGTGAAAATTCATCCAAGTGCTACAAAGGAAAATGCTGGGGAAATCCTGCTTTAAAAAGCAGCAGATCTGAAACTCTTGACTAGAACAGTCCTAGGCCACTGCTCTGCTTCTTAGTGACTGTAATAACTTCAGGCTTGACTCATAGATCCAGGAGAAATATTACTTGGTGTTTTCCCCTTACAACTCAATGAAAATATCATGCAGCAGACAGTGAACCTGAACCTCAGGACATGTGGCAGAGCCAGGGGAAAACAGCACCATGGAGATAAGCCTGCAATAAGAAGGAATGAGGTAAAGAGCATATGCCTTTCTGCTTCTCAGAAAATACATACCATGGTATAATTGTGAGCCACTTTATGCAAATCTGTACAACCCTGGGCATCAGCAAAAGAACGGATTCCAAGGCAGTTGGATGGGTGAAGCTGTTTCATTAAAAACTTACAGCAAGCTTCCACAACCTGTGAAAGCTGAAGGAGGCAAGCTGTAGACAGCAGGCACTCAATATTATCTTCTTTTAATTCAAGGCGGCCTTAATGATAAAAAGAAATTCCATTAACCATAGAACTATACTAACTTTAATTTATAAAACAGTGTTAACAGTAATAATTCTCAACAAGAGCTCCGTATATGAATTCTTAGATGGTTTTAGACAGTCCGAAGAGAAAAAAAAGTACTGACTATGAAAAAACCTTATTAGCTCTTTGTGACTTTTATTAAAATAAAAAACGAATGGCTTCTTTTCAGAATTTTTATATGATGCTTTAAGTAGCATATCTATTAAATATAATGTTCAAATTTTAAATGCAATAACTTAAAAACATTATATAATTCATCTAATTATTATATTAACATTTAAAAATACCAATCACAGGCTTAATTATGACCACCATTTTAAAGATTCTAATATAAAGATTTTAACCTTTTATAAAGGTATCACCAGCGGTGGTGATTCCAATAGCAGAATTCACTGTTAGCTGTGGCAGGCCTTCCTAAAAGCAGAAATCTGAAATCTCATAATGCACCATAATTTTAAGAGGTTTTAGATTTACATTTTCAGATTTATTACCTGTATATGCGTACTGAATCAAGGACCATAGTGAATTCGGTTCAACACCTTCCATTTTTATTTCTTCTTGTCTTGCTTCCCTGACATCATTAGTAAACATGGCAGCAAAATAATCTGAGACCGAGGAGAGCACCAACCTGAGAACATATCAGAAGAAAAAAAAAATCAGTGACCGCCTTAAGGTTGATGTTCATTAACAAACGCTGCTTCTCTCTCTTCTCTCCCTTTTTTTTTTTTTAATTTGTTACCCACAAAAAGTGCGTGGTACCGGGAAATGCATTTTAAGTTTGACAAATTGCTTTATGCTCTAGTTCTTTCCTTGGAATAATAAATTACCATTACTGAAAATTTTCTGCTGAGGTAAATGATTTACCCATTCATTACTAAAATATCACTTTATAACATCCAGACAAAAAGCTAAAGCCCACAGCATTAAACTGACTATATAAAAAAAGGGAAAAAAAAATAAACGTTACTTTCTGTTTATCACTTTAACCTAAGTGTTTTTTTTCTTTTAATTTAATTGTAGTAGTAGTAGATATATGGGAGAAATTTGAGAATGGTTTTAGCAGGTTGTTTTTAACTTTTGTGATTTATTATTATACTGTTCACATTTTATTACCAAATGATAATATTTTTAACACCACAAAACTATTTTTATAATAGTACATTATTAATATTAGGTACATCTCTGACCAGATTTTTGACAGCCAGATATGAAAAAAAATAGGTTATAAATATATATTTTGAAATGTGCATTTTTTTTTTATTTGACGTCTTGGAGATCTTTCCATGTCAGCACATTTATATAGATTCACTTTATTTATTTATTTATTTAAAGAACTAGAAACCGATAACCATTGAAGCTCCCTCTGTGTTCCTCTCTACTTCCATTCTCCCCCCTCCTCAGGAGCACACTGCCGAGTCCTAGGTTTGCCAGGCTGCTCTCCAAAGTGCTGTGCCAATTTAGACCCCCACTAGCACTGTATGAGAGAGAACATTTTCCCACAACATTGTCAGATGTTAAAATTTTTGGCCATCTGCAAGGTGTTAAATGGCATCTCATTGTTGTTTTAATTTTCATTCCCCTGATGGCTAGCAAGACTGAAGATCTTTTTAAATGGTTATTGGTCATTCAGGTTTCTTCTGAGAATTGCCCATTTATTCATTTACTCATTAAAGACATTCACACCTAATAAGGACAGGGCACTGTTCAAGGTACTTGAGCTATCATCAGTATAAATAAGAGACAAAAGATCCCTTCTCTAAGGGAGTTTTACATTCTAGAGGGGAGGGAGATGAATAATAAACAGCACAAGTAAATTCTAGAGTACATTAAAGAATGGGAAGTCCTAAGGGGAAAAAGTAGGGTAAGGGCAAATGAGGAATAGGCAGGGGGTTTAAATAAGTGGTCTGACTGGAAAGTGGCGTTTGGGCAAAGACTTGAAGGAGGTGCAGGAATTAGTCATACAGGTATCTGGGAACAGCATTCGGGCAGAAGGAACAGCCAACACAAAAACTCAAAGGCAGGAGCAGCATGTCTGGCACATACAAGGACCATGCGGGCTGAGTGGCTCAAGCAGAGGGATCAAGGACAGAACATCAGACGGCAATGGCCATCACACGGCCCACTGGGCTTTCATAATCCATGACATGAGGAGTCACTGAAAAGTTAATTACAGGAGTGACTGGATCTGAGTTCTATTTTAAAGGATCACTCAGGTAGCTGTGCAGCAAACAGAATGTAGAGGGAAAGAGTGAAAGCAGGGAGACCAGTTGGCAGTTTCTGGCACTGAGGGAGACGGTGAGTTTACACATAAGTGGAAGGGAAGGCAATGAGCTCTGTTCTGGAAAAACAGAATTTCAGATGTCTCAACATGCAGGTTGAGGTATCTTTTCCAGTAAACCCATGCTCATAACACGGACTTTTTGTCACAGTATCTAGTAGCATCTCAATAAATGTATGCCCATTGAATCATTGGAAACTAAGACCAAGCCCATTTTTCCCAATGATTTCACTTCCACTTTGGAACGTTTAAGAAAACCTTTGGGACAGAGTGTTAATTAGTTTTTAAAAGCGTTAAAAAAAAAAAAACCTTTTGGGGTCATAATAGTGATTAACACAGAACTGAACACAGAATTATCAAAGGAAACATAATGAATTTTTCTTTATTAAACATCTCTCTTTTCTTATTTCAAAAAATAGTACTTCATTTGTGTTAAAGGTTTTTGTTCCCTAACATCACTGCTTTTCCTATTTCTTGGAGGTCAGCAAACAGAAGTTGGGATAGGTGTCGCTATTTTAAGACTCTTCCATTTTTGCCATTTCATTCCACTAGCTTTTTTGCTTCTAAATACTCAAAGCTCTAATTTCCATCGAGTTTACTTATTTAATAGGTAGAATTTAGGAGAAAAGCTGCTCGTAGTAGCTGAAATCTTTGCCAAACAATACTGACTGATCTGAGGCTAGTGTGTTTTGTTTTTGTGTTTCTGCAGAGGGAACGTGACCCTTTTGGAGTCATTTAATGTATAATAATTTCACATGCACTGTTTTCTTTGCAGAAATCCCATGAAAGATACCCCTTCCCAAAAGCATATGGAATAGTTAGTTGGAACAAATTATCTCAACATACATAACAGATTAGTAAGGAAATACTTCTCATATATATTTAGAAAACAATTACCTATGAGCTGGAATTCTGCGATCACCAGCAACTAGAATTACATCACATAACTGTTTGTGTCTTAAATAGTTTTCCATCTTTTTAAATGTTTGCTCAGCATGATTAAGGGCTTGGAAAAATTCATCTGATGAACATGGCTCCATAGTATGGCAGGATGATAACGTCTGACTACTGTTGGAAGTCCTGACAAGAAAGAGAACACACCTTTTGAAATATTACTATCACATTGAAAAGATCTTTTCTATAAGTCCTTTAAAAACCTTTAAATGTAATAGAAGTCATCAATGCTACCAGTCAATAGTAACATGTAGTCATTCATCATTTTTGTCTTTTAAATTCAATGATGGCTCAAATCATATGTCTTGTAAATACTGTGAGTGAATGTGACATCTGGTAGTTAATAACTATACATATTCTTTGCAGTGTCTGTTTTTGAGATCTTTTTGCCGTTCAACATAATTTCTCTGTTGAAAAAGAGCCAAGCTATATTCATGATAGTATATCTCTTAACATTATATTTAAGGGTATATGAGATCATTCTTTGAGAGCAGGAAGGCAATTAAACTATTTTAGAGACATAAATCCAAGCCATCCTTTACTTAAAAATGGGTTACAGTCCACAGTTCATTTACAGGATAACTGTTTGGAATATTAAACACAGTTGACCTTTGACCAACATGGGCTTGAATTTGGGGGTCCACTTAATACGTGGATTTTTTACAATAAACATAATGCAGTATTAAAAATGTATTTTTTCTTCCTCATATTAGTCTTTATAACATTTTCTTTATTCTAGCCTACTTTGTTGTAAGAATATAGTATATAATACATATAACATACAAAATGTGTTAATTGACTGTTTATGTTATTTGTAAGGTTTGCAGTCAAGAGCAGGCTATTACTAGTTAAGTTTGGGGGAGTCAAAAGTTATATGTGGATTTTTGAGTGTGGGATCTGGTATCCCTAATTCCCGCATTGTTCAAGGGTCAACTGTACACGGTCATAAAAACAATGTTATAAATTATTCATTTGATTCTCTAGTCAGTCTTCAAAAGCCCAGATGATCTATAACTTATATTACAGATAAAAGAAATGTGATGGCCTACCTTAGGTATCTAGAAATTATTTGAAATTTCCAAATTAGAATTTGAAAAGTATGAGTTCTCTGTTTTCTTATGATTTACTGATGGAAATGGTGAAAAAATGAAAAGGTTACTACTAGGAACTAAGTCCTAAGTCCACCCCTCCCTGCACCCCCCAGGATCACTTGTAATCAACATCCATTGGCTGTGCAATTAACTACCAACAATGCCGTAACTTAGTTCTCAATTCTTGTCACATTTACTTTTAGGGATATTATGATTCTGACAAATACTTTATTGATTCAATCCTCACTGTACCTTAAGACAATATTCTTAATATAAACATCTAATAACCTTCCCAAAAAAGAAAAAGTCACTGGATCTTTTAGAGTCAAGAGAACTAAAGCCTAGGAGATTAGGTGCCTTGCCAAGAGTCCTACAGTTTGTTCATGACAGAGACTGGCCTGTCACAGAGATCACTATGTGTTCACCTTTAAAACCCTTTCTCTTTTTCTTTGGAGAATATAGCTAGGCTACATTTCCCTGACTCTCTCAAAGACAGGTGAGGTCTTATAATGGCAATGAACTACATCACCTCCAGGCTAACGTGGCTAAGAGCAGGTGTTCCTTTCTCATGCTTTCTTTTTTTTAATTACAAGCTTTTTTTTTAAGATTTTATTTATTTATTTGACAGAGAGAGACACAGCAAAGAGTGGGAACTCAAGCAGGGGGAGTGGGAGAGGGAGAAGCACGCTTCCCGTGGAGCAGGGAGCCCTATGTGGGGCTCGATCCCAGAACCCCAGGATCATGACTTGAGCCGAAGGCAGACGCTTAACCGACTGAGCCACCCAGGAGCCCCATGCTTTCTTTCTCAGCAGTGTCTCTACCTAAATTCTCCCAGCCCAATGCATTTTTAACGCATACAAATATGGGCCTTAAAAAATGTTCTTGGAGGATAACTGTCAATAATAATAATAATAGAAGCAAAATATATATTATCTAGAATGCATGTGTCATATACTATGAATATTATTGGTGTAATGACTTGGAAAATACAGGATAATATACTCAAATTTACATTTAAGATAATTATCATAAATATATATTGAGTAGGGGCGCCTGGGTAGCTCAGTCGTTAAGCGTCTGCCTTCGGCTCAGGTCATGATCCCAGGGTCCTGGGATGGAGCCCCGCATCAGGCTACCTGCTCCGCGGGAAGCCTGCTTCTCCCTCTCCCACTCCCCCCCTCATGTGCTCTCTCTCGCATTCTCTCTCTCTCAAATAAATAAATAAAATCTTAAAAAAAAAAAAAAAGAATATGTGTTCTTAGATTGCCTGGGTTTGAATCCTCACTCAGAGCTC